ACATTTTACAAAACATATAGAATAAAGTCCTCAGCTGCTGTCAATCAGCATAGATCCACTGAAGTCAATGAAGTTATGCTAATTTTGAAAGTAGTAAGGCTCTGGCTATGAATATATGATTAATATATTTTCAGTAATTTAATATTTATACATTACACTATTGTGATACACAGGCACCCCAATAGTCACCACTCTCATGTAATTAGGATATGTTTTGTACGAAGTATGCCTTGTGAGGTATCATTCTAAAAGTCTTGATCTGCTAGACAGTAATAACTTGTTAGACTGTATGTGCTATCATCGTATGTGAAGTTATTAAGTTTGGCTATGTATGTGTTACTGATACATGTTGTGAGGTTGAAAATACCCACAAGCAGCCTTTCAGGTACAACAGTAAAAAGACCAAACAATGTTAATGGCTTACTGAGGAAATGCACACAAGCCAAGGATTATGCCAGGAACTGTATACAACAGAAACCTCTCAGAGATAGCACTACACAATGGGAACTGTTTGACCCAGGTCACAGCAAAAGAGCTTTCCAGCAATTGGGAAGAAAATATAAAAGGAGGAAAAGGGCAGCATAAGGGAACCTCACTCTCTCTACAACAACACACCTGGAAACACCTGAGGAATAAAGACTGAACAGGGGGAAGTGATGGTCCCAGGCTAAAGGGACCTGTGTATGGAAAACCTGGGAAACCCAAGCTGCAAAGCCAAGGTGGCTTCTGCCTTAAGAATCTGCCAGACTGTTTATCACTCAGGGTGAGATTTGCTAATTCACATCCTACCTATCTAGTAAGTTACGCTCAGTTTGCGGTTTTGTTTATTTACTAGGTAATCTGCTTTGATCTGTTTGCTATTACTTATAATCACTTAAAATCTATCTGTTTGTAGTTAATAAACTTATTTTGTTTTAATCCAAACCACTGTGCGTTTGATTAAGATGTCTAGGGAAAATCTCAGCTTGGTTACCACTAGTGTGCGTGGTCCTCTTCACATTGAGGGAGAGGCAGACTGGGTTTAAACCCATATACTGGCCAGATTTGACCAGGGCAGGATGGTACTGCTCTGGGGTCCTAGGCTAAATTCCCTGTAAGCTGCATGGCTGCGCAGCTGCCTATAAAGCACCATGCAGGCGTTCAGGGCTCTGGAGGGAAGAGATGCCTCTCCCCAAGCCCTGGACCTGCCATGGCTCCCCTCCCCCAGCCCCAAACCTGTCGCAGCCCCAAACCTTCCATGGCTTGGGGACAGGTGCCCTTCCCCTGCAGCCCAGGTGCTGCTGTGAGGAGAGAGATCTGGGGGGAGTCCTCTCTTCCCAGGGAGCCCCACTGTACCCCAAGCCCCTCAGCCCCACCCCAGAGCCCACACCTCCAGATGGTGCCCTCTCCCCCCCCGAACCCCAACCCTCTGCCCCAGCCCTGAGTCCCTCATCCCCAGCCCCACCCCAGAGACAGCACCCCCCGACTGGCGACCTCACTCCCCCTGCACCCCAACCCTCTGCCCCAGCCCTGAGCCTCCTCCCACACTCCAAACCCCTCAGCCCCACCTCACCACATGAATTTTGTTATGTGCACCAATACGGAGGTGAAGTGTCACACATCACCTCCGTATTGGTGCACATAACAAAATTCATTCTGTGCATGGGTGGGAAAAATTAGAGGGAACATTGGTCCTAGGCTGGGAGGCAGGTGGTTAGAGAGCCTGCATGTGACTTCAACTGGGTGTGTCCTTACCTGTGTGAATGCTGGTGAAAGTGCAAGCTTGGAGGGCTTTGCAACTTGTACGGCAACAGCCGTGTGAGAGGGAGCCCAGGCTGATGGGTCAGATGGCTCAGTGATACCCCAGTTCTAGGTGGCCCCCGAGGGGGAACCCCTCCCAACTATATTTTAAATGTAAAAAGTAGTGAGGTTCATACTATTGAAAGCACTTTGAAACTGTTTGGTAGGACAGATGAGTTTTCTGCAGCCCTGAGCTTTGTGTTTGCTGCTGAGAGTTCTGGGGAAGTCCATCTCAGTCGGGTTATAAGTTAAAGTAGTGATGGAATACTTTATTTTACATCTTCCAAATAGCTGTTTTCTGGCCGCTTGCACTACTTCAGGACACAGTAGGCTTAGTGGGATTTTTATTTTGACATTCTTTTTCTTTGGCTGGCCATGTTATCTCATCTGACTACACTGCTCTTCATGTGGTTGATATGTAAAGACTCCTTTGGCACTACGATATTGTTAGAATCTAGACTACTGTGAAAACCAGTGTAAAATTTTGCCCCTTTATTGCTAACTAGAAGGGTAACTTGAACCAATCTGCCAGAGTATACTTTTCTTCATCCCTTTATCTTGTAATTTTGGGTTATGTCTCTTCTTAAAGGTAGTTTTAACTGCACACAGGTTTTCATTTGCATGTTCAGTGGAAGAATATGAAACATGTTTCCTTGGAAACTTTAAATGTCTGAAACAACCATTTACATAAACAATGCTGTCATCAAAATTTCACATTCTTCAGTTGAAGGAAAAAAACTTAAACATTTCCAAAGCAAATAAGTACTATTTAATAAGCAGACAATCTAAAAAAGGCCTCTTTACTGAATGTCATAATGACCAAAAAGTTACCTACCCTTAAAATATTTCCAGATTATAAGATAATTTCATTTGTGGATTAATTGTGTGCACTGAAATAACTGTTTAGAGTGTTTTCAAATTCAACTTAAACATTTATCTCTAATTGCCATGCAAAACACTGTTGCCCTTTCCTCTGGGTAAGGCAAAAACAACTGTCATTCCCATTTTAACAGAGCTTGTTTCCACCTGTCAAGAGCATTCTGGTTGCTTTAATCATTCTGTTCATAACTCCTGATTTTTCTCTTGTGAGGTTTGCATAGAAATTCCCTCAAATTCTTATATGTTCAGTGATCTGTGTCAACTCAAGATTTTTTTTTCTGCCTTAGATACCTATTTTATAGAATTTCCCGAACCAAACATAAAGGTTTTTTTTCCCCATACTTCAGAGAAGTTCAAGAACAGAAAACACAAAATGTATTGCACACCTGCTCTGGTGCACTTACCCACATACAATATATCCATTAGAAAACTCCAACTGTATTAGTAAATAAATCATAATTTCCCACTTTGCAACCTTCATGCTCCCCCATAAACAAAACACAGCAGAACCGTAGCTTGCCCCCTGTTGCTGTAGTGTTCTGTTTTAAAATACTGGACCAAGCAAGACTAAGTAGCAGGGTTCAAAGCTGTAGACACTAAGGGTATGTGTACACGGCAACAAAACACCCACAGCTCACCTGGGTCAGCTGACTCGGACTTGTGGAGCTTGGGCCGTGGGGTTATAAAATTGCAATATAGATGTTCAGACTTCTGCTGGAACCCGGATCTGGGACTTTCCTGCCTCATGGGGTCTCAGAGCTGGGCACCAGCCCAAGCCTCAATGTCTACACTGCAATTTTATCGCCTTGCAGCCCAAACCGCCCTCCTACCCCAGCCCACCATCCGCCAGCCTGAATGAGTTGACCCGGGCCAGCCACAGGTAATTTTACTGCAGTGTAGACAGACTGTGAATGAAGCCCTTCTTCCTGAACTGATTAGCTACTTTGTCCTTTTAAAAAAAATCTTTTAATAATCTGCCAGGTGTAAGTAGTATTGCTACTGTATTGCTAAATATCTAGTTCTATATTGGAATCTATAATAATAAGTAATATAATATTGTATTTAAATAGATCCAGGAGTCGTAAACAACTTTGAGCGACTGGTATTATTACCTATATTTTTCAGGTGGCGAAACAATGGCAAAGAGAGGTTAAGTGACTTGCCAAAGGTCACACAACAAGGCATTGATAAAACTGGGTCTAGAAACAAAGTCCCTTGCTCTCCAAAGTGAAATGATTTCATTAAAGTCAATGGCAAAGCTCCCATTGACTGTGCTGGGGCCAGGATTTCACCCCCAGCCCATTGTGCTGATAGACCATGCTGAGAGGCTGCAGAACTGACTTGTCACTAAAATGTGTTTCCATTGTTGTATTATGTTTGTATGTCTATGTTCATAGTTAAACACATTTAGAGAATGATACGTAACTTTGACTTAAATTGTATTGTATTTTTATTCATTTTACATTAGATATAGCTTGGAAACTTTATTGAGACATAGACAATGTTTAGGGTTTTTTTCCCCCCAACAAGATTGGGGGGTTAGAAGAAGATGAACAAGCAAATGTCCATTAAAGTTATCAAAGTCTCAAACAACAGTGGAAGAACTTTTTTTTCATATTTAGGGTGTCATGAAAATTTGCAAGTGAGCTACTGATTAGTATATAAACAATGCTAAATGTGAAGTATGTCTTTAGACATTTGTTTCTTCTTATTGTGTGATGTCTCAAATGAAAAGTAGGGGGAGGGAAAAATCAGTTTTAAAAACAATGTTAAGCTAAATTTATGGATATGAAAAAAACACTTTTTCCATCAAGAAAATTATGGAACCAAGTTTAAATTTGATGTCTAATAAAAAGTGTTATTTTATTATTACTCTCTTTGGTCCAAATTCATAGTCATCAGTTAAATTAGACCTGGCATGAAACTGGTCTTAAATACATTGTCTCTGGTTTTGTGAGATGTTTACATATTGTATTTCAGATTTATCTCCACCTTCTTTAACTTGGTGATTTTCTCAGAATACAAATGTACACATGGAAAGGCAATTCCAAACCTAAAGAGGCAGTTAGCATCTCTTTATTTTCACTTTGTTTAATTATTTTCAGAATCTTTCTCTCTTTTGAGAATGTCCCTACCTCTCCCAGGACTCCCTTTTGACCTTTGTTCCCTGGTTTTAAAGTGTAAGTTTCATGTAAAAACGTTGAAATATGTCAGTAATAAATTAATCTACCATCTGAGATGAAATCAAAAACCTTCCGAGTGTTGTGAAATGATGATATAGTTAAAACAAAACAGAGTAAGTGTTTAAAATGATGATTAATGTAAATAGGTAAGCATTTTACCTGTATGGCGTTGGTAACATTCCATCCAGCTTCCCAAGTGGTGATCAGTTTGATCTGGGCACCTTGCATGTGAGCCTTGGATTGATATCCTGGATCCTGGTGGGAGACATTAAACTCAAGGGTCTTGGTAGCATCTTGTTCCTCCTTTTCCTCGCTGTGGGTCCGGTTAAGCTCATCCCTTCTGGCAAAATTCACATTTTCTTCTTCAACATCTAGGCAACCTTCCCATTTCACCAGCCTGAAAAATAGGGACTGTGTACCCCTAAAGCAATGGGGAAGAGATGAAAGAGTCTGCTTCAGGTAAGCCATCCTGAATACCAGCTATTAAAATAAAATCTTTTCCTGGCTGTCTTTATTTTTTGCAGTAGTTGTGTGTTGTTAGTCCCTTTGTTAATTAGCATTGACACTGAAGCTATGATTTATGAGGTCTGTTGGCCTTCAGTCTTTTATTTGTGTCAGTTTCAAATGGCAAACTAAAGGAACATCCCCAGGGTCTTCAAGGTGCTGCTCAGAGTCAATGAGGTTTAGTAGCCTGCAAGCTGAAATTTACAATTCAAATCCTTTTACTTATGGTAAGTACATAGATCAGTCACTCGTGAAGAAGCTACAAGTGGTTGCAAGAATCTGCTCCTGGAAATTATGCAAACATGTTTTTCAATACAAGTAAATATTCCTCAAAAAAAAATTACGGCATTAAAAAGCAGCATTGACTGACTGATATAAACCAAATGAATGTAATATATATAGAAGTTAATAGAGCAGTCTATTGTTGGGTTAAATTAAGGTTTATTACATTGTCCATGAGCTAAGTAGTCCCATCATATTTAGACCAAATTATATCATTCATATGTAGAGTTATAACATCACAACAACTTTAAAAAGAATAATTTATTCAAAATTAACTAGAGAATGGGGGCAAATATAAATATAAATAACTATCTACTTCTCCAGATGTGAGAATTTCCTGCTCTTATTTATTGTCTACAGAGGTCAGTAGAACTTTAAAAATGTTTTAAAAACATAAGCTCAAAGTTTAAAACTTCTAGCATATTTATAACCATTTCTATTTCATAGTATTTTTCTGAGGAGAGAGAGGAGCATTTTTTAATGCTGTTTAGCTCTGTCCATTCCAGGGCTATAAATAAAGATACGTTAGTCTTTACACACCATAAGACCATAGAAACGGTATCTATTTTGTTTCCCTTACTTTCATGGAGAGGCACCTGGGATTTGTGCAAGGAAGGAAAAGAGAGGGAGTGTAGTTTCAGGATTCACTAGTTTTTAGTGTCATCTCTGCCCCTTTTCTGCATAGAAAAGCAATCTTCTCCTAAGAGTCTGGTGTTAAGGAAATCTGCCAGTATCCCTTTGTTAAATCCAGAGTGGTGATATATTGGGCTTCTCCCAGCCAGTCTGAATTCATCCACCCAAGGCAGGGGGTAGATATAATTTCTGAAACTGTTCACCTTTCTGAAGTCTATACAGAAATGTAGTGAGTCATCTGACTGTGGAACCAGCAGAGTAGGACTTCTCCAGTCACTTTGGGATATCCCGAGTTCTGACATGACCTTGAGCTCTTTCTTGATAACCCTCCTCAGTTTTGGGGGGATTGGTTGGAGCTCTTCTGTATTACTTTACTGGGTTCCATATTAATGTGATTGTGGCCCATGGATATGTTCTCATGATGGGCTGAGAATATCTTTGTAAAAGTGATTGGAGTGCCTGTTTTGTTTGCTTCTGGTTTAGGTTCTCTCTGAGGGGCACTGAGCTTTCTTTCAGGCAATCTCTAATTTGGGATCCCAGTTCCTCAGCATATGGCATGATGAAGTGGCTTTCCCTGGCTTCAGCAAATTTACATGGTCAATTTGTGATTCATTCCCCCCATTTGTCTGATTAAATAGTTTGCAGTTCCATCTCATTTACCACCTCATAAGGGTCTTGCCACTTGACCATAAGCTTTGATTCAGAGATTGTTGCCTGACTGGAAGACACATAGTCTTGCCCCTTTATTATAATGTAATTGTTGTTGTACCTGTGCTCCTTCCTCTAGCATAGCGTCCCATAGCTTCCAGTCTCTCATGTAACTTTAAGACATATTGTACAAGGTTTTTGGTTCTTGGAGCCTGGCTTTCCCATGTCTCTCACACCATGTCTAGTATGCCTCTTGGTGGTTGCCCATATAGCACTTGCAGTGGTGAAAACCCTGTCAAAGCTTGTGATACTTCCTTAATGGAGAAAAGTAGGGCCAGGAGTAGTTGATCCCAATATTAAGAGTCTTGGATAATGAATTTCTTGAGCATTCTCTTTACCATCTGATTAAGTCTTTCCACTGGACATCTGTCTATGGATGGTACACAGATGAGCAGGGCCCTACCAAATTAACGGACATGAAAAATGCGTCATGGACCATGAAAGCTGGTCTCCCGCCGTGAAATCTGAGCTTGTGTGTGCTTTCACCCTATACTATACAGATTTCACAAGGGAAACCAACGTTTCTCAGATTGGAGGTCCTGACCCAAAAGGAAGTTGCAGAGGGTCACAAGGCTATTTTAGAGGGGGGTGGTAATATTGCCACCCTTACTTCTGCACTGCCTTCAGCGCTCAGCAGCCAGAGAGCAGTGGCTATTGGCTGGGTGCCCAGCTCTGAAGGCAGTGCCCTGCCAGCAGCAACACAGAAGTAAAGGCACTAGTACCACACTCCTCCATACAATAACCTTGCGACACCCTCCCCCCACCCACAACTCCTTTTTGGGTCAGGACCCCTACAATTACACCACCATGAAATTTCAGATTTAAATAGCTGAAATCATGAAATTTATGATTTTAAAAATCCTATGACTGTGAAATTGAACAAAGTGGACTGTGAAATTGGTAGGGCCCTACAGATGTGTATAATGCTTTGACTTTTAGTAGGCCACAGAAATCTCTTATCAGATTGTAAAACCTGTTCCCTGGTCCATCATGATCTCTTTGGGAGTCTCTACCCAGGCAAAGGCCTTCAGCAGCTCATTAGCGATAGTCTTGTCATTCATTGTCTGGAATGGTATGACTTCCGGCTACTGGGTGACCAAGTCCATGATAACAAGAATATGCTGGTGTCCAGAGGCACTCTTCTCTAGGAGGCTGTGGTGGGGCGGTCGTCCCACCCCCTGAGAACAGGGCTGCAATAGGCCTTTTGAGGCTGCGCAGGCCAGCAGACAATCAGAGAAAGCCTGGGGATAGCCAATCAGGGCCAGCCTAGGTCCTATATAAAGGCTGCCTAGCAGTTGAGAAGGCAGTCTCTCCCTGACTAGCAAGACAGAGCAGTGCTGGGCAGGCTCGGGGGAGCAGGAGAGAGCTCCAACCCCGTTACCTGCCAGGCTGCTGATCCTGCTACAAAGGGCCTAGAAGGTGCACAGGGCCAAAGAGGAAGTGGCCCAGGGAAGAATAGATGGATGAGAGGGTAATGAAGGAGGTCAGAAAGAGGCTGCCGCTCGAGGGTCCCTGGGTCGGGACCCAGAGTAGCAGGCAGGCCTGGCTTACACTACATCTGGCCATGGAAGACGGGGGCCAATACAGACGGCAACTTGCCCCTGAGCTAAGGGGCTAGGCTTTGGGTTGTGGTTGGCCACTGAGGCAGGTGCGAGTCCCAAAGACTGATGTTAACCGCGCCCCCTCCCCCCACGCCCCCCCCGGAAGGGGCTGAGTCTGGAGTAGTGGGCACTGCTGGAGGACAGTGTCCTGAAGTGGATGCTGCCGAGCGGGGAGCAACGCGGGTCCCAGGGCAGCAGAATGGACAACGGGCAAGACACCACGCGCTGAGGACACTCTGCAGTAGACAGAGCTAATTCCCTGAACAACCAGTGGGAGATGCCAGCGGTCTTGACCCGGTCACACGGGCATATAAGAATGATTATTATTGATTCAAAGAGGATCTCCATCAAGGGAAAGGGTATTAGTAGAGTCCTTTGGTGACCACTAGTTAGCATTTAGGGCATGACACACACAAATTCTCAACTTCTTTAAGGACCCCGGGCAAAAGTATTGGGTCAGGATCCTAGACCGTGTCTTATCCAGGGCCGGCCCACAACATTTTGGCACCTGAGGCAGGGAGCTCAAATGGTACCCACCCATTCCTCCTCGCTTGGGCCAAAACTTTGAAAGGTCTCAATTCTGCCTTCTTCCTGTTCTACTCCTCTCATAGTACTGCTCTGCTACCTACCCCAATAAAGGAGAACTAACAACTTAAAATGCCTTGCTCAAAAATTAAGTAACACTTAACTTTCAAACACCTGAACAGCAAATGTAATTTTTCTTGTCTGCATAGTAAACACTGGCATTTTTATCTGTTTGAATAATCAAAGAGGTGCTTTCTGTGTCTTCTTGGTTGCAAAGATTTGAACTGCTTCCTGCTGAAGGTCCACACTCTGGACCAGCTCATGCTCTATTGCAGGGACATTTTCACTAGGTTCTGTTGTTACACAATGCACCATTAAAGCCATTTGTTCCGTAAGGCTGATGTCAGGTGTGCAGTCAAGAATAACAGAATAATATCTTGCTGACTTCAGATCCACCACAATTTTCTGTTTGACTTTTGTTGCCAGTAACTGTATGATCTCATTCTGAACTGTTTTTCCAAGGTAGTGGTGTGTGTACATTTCTTGGGTGGTGATTCTTCTTAGATGCTCCTGGAGTATAGCATCAGACTCAGCCATCAGCTCCACAATTTTAAGGAAGTTTCCATTGTTTGGCACATACAGCTGATCTGAAGTGCCACACAGTGCTAGTTTCTGCGTAGCAAGCATTCTCACAATGGCAATGAGCCTTTTCAGAACATTTTGCCAGTAAAGAGACTCTGATGCAATCTTCTCTTGATGCTGATCATCTATGGTAGCCTTTAACCTTAGTCTCATCTCAAGCTCTTTTCAGCTATGGAATGCTCTCTGGTGATTTGCTGCCTTCTCATGGCATGCCGGATTTCTAGCCAGATTTTTCTAGCCCTTTGTTCCTGTAGAACCCAATGTGGCTGGAACATTAGATTGGAAGAGTTTGTAACAAAAACAGTATGCAGCTTTCTGGGGTTTTGAGTACATAAGCCATGGCCTCTCCAGTTTGTCACCATTGGGGATTTCACGCCATAATGTGTTGGATGGAAACTTCTATTTTCATTGTCTTTGTGGAACATGAAGTTTTTCACTTGCTGTGGCCCATGCAGTACAAGGAAGTCCCTCAGGCTACTGCTCAAGTGGGTCCACAGTCCTGGATCATCTAGACTTAAGGAACTAAACTCAGCAGCAGCTGTTTCTTGCACCTCCACCACTCTCTTCCCTGATCTACACTTTTTTTTAGGAATGTGCATGGTTACATCCATTTGAGATGGAGATACAGATACTGCAGTAGCTGCCAGGTCACCTGCACTCTGCCCAACTGGAAGATCAGGCATCTCCTCACTGGGGCTGGAAGGCTCGCCGTGAACATTTGTGTCTATGTATCTCAGGACAGCTCCTTCCTCCTTGGAT